AACAGCACTTTTTTTTGTTAGGTTGGTAGCACTGTCCCTAACTACTATGCCAAAAATGAGCGTCAACCAGTTTGTTTGCAGCAGCTGCTGAAATCAGTCGACCTTAGTAGTGTTTTGCGATTATTACAATAAAAAAAATATATTGAACAAAGAATTTGCATAAAATTTTGCGTATCGAACCAAATTTCGTATGCAGAGTCGTTGCGAATGTTAGAAAAGGCTTATGGGCAATCTATTCTATCAAAAACCCAAGTCTACGACTGGTACAAAGCCTTTAAAAATGGTCGATAAACCGTCGAAGACATGCCTTGTTCCGGTCGTCCTTCTACGCCTGCGAGTGTTAGAGAGATAGCACGTAAACTAAACATCGGCCGTGAAGCAGCTCGTTTGAGTTTGGCCGATAATTTGGGTATGAGACGCGTCAATGCTCGATTTGTTCCAAAAGAGTTGAATTTTTTGCAAAAAGACCATTGTGACCGATTTTAAAACCAAAAACTCGTTCAATACCACCGTATTCACCGGATTTGGCCCAATGCGACTTTTTTTGTTTCCGAAACTCAAGTTACCACTCCGTGGAATCTGTTTCGACTCGATTAAGGCCGTAAAAGAAAATTCGCAGTGGGAACTGATGGCGATCCCGGACAGCGCCTACAAGATATGTTTCAATGATTGTCGTAACGTAATGGAAGTGAGTACTTTTTTATCGTTTCTAATTTTTTTATCAGTTTTAATAACTTTGTGGGATACAATAAATCTTAAAAATTTTACCTCTGTTTATATAAATCTTGGTTTTTCAAGTGTTTGTACTATATACTTTAAATTAAATATATGTTCTTTTAATGTTTTTGAATATACTATTGTATTATATATACATGACAAAATTTTCCTATGTATTCATGTAAAATATTTTTCATTGGTCTCTGGAATATACTTGGAATATTTCCATAGTTTAAATGGCATTCTTAAGTATTTATATTTTCCGTTATTTATAGAAAATGCTGTTTTTTCTATATATGTTTCTTCAATTAATATCTGTTAAATATTAATTAATAAAAATTCAGACTCTTTGTAATTTCGTTATTATTATTTATATATTTTTCCGCAAATTATTTGAAATCATGTTTATTAGTAATCTCAAAATTATTTATTTATAAAATATCCTCACCATATTATTGTTTTTTTTTTATAAATGAAATAAAGGCACCTTTGGACCTTTTTTTGTTTTTTTTTTTACTTTTTTTCTTTTGTTTTGCCGGTAAAAACTTCGGCTGTCTTGTCCTAAGGGGTTTGTAATACAATAATTAAATCATTGAGAAAATGTATTTTTTCTGTTTTAATATTATTGTAAATCAATTTTCTACTAGGAATATCGATTGTGGCACTGATTTTATTTAGGAAATTGATTCCAATTAGGAGATCGCTCATCTCCGTTATCAATTTCATAAAATTGTTCCTGAATACCAAACAGATGAATGTTATGAAATTATTGAATGATAGTCGAACCATTAATGATTCTTACCCTCATTTTAATTACTAAAATATTTTTGTTTTTATAAATACCCGCCCGTATATATGAGCTACTTGCTCCAGTATATCTTTGGTACCTTATTTTATGGATACTTGGTCTGCCTATTATTTTGTATTGTTTGAACAGGTCTACGTTTATTAATGACCTGTGCTGACGGATCAATGTCCAGTGGTCCTGGATTTGTTTGATATTGGTTGATAACCATTTGAAAAAACTTAAATTATATTGGAAAATTTAAATTGTTCGATTAACTTGTGTGGTTTCGTGAATCAAATTCATATTTGTTTTTTGAGAATTGCAGAACAAATGGTGCTCGCATTTGATTCGAATGCAGCTCTTGTGTTTTGGCAAGACCATTTGATAAATCTCTAGATGGTTAAGTGAAAAGTGTTTGGTTTAGTAGATAGTTTAAACCAGTTATGAAAGTCCTTAAAGCAGTTTCATGGTTCTTGATATTTAATTGTTTTGTGATTTCAGAGTTTGTTCCGTGGGCCATTATTGTCTTATTGATTAATAAAGTCAATTTCTGATTGACGTCATTATAATAGTATTGTATATTAAGGATTTCGATCGTCGCAAAACGCTTATTTCCTGGTCAATTACGCGAATTGATCTTCTATCAGCGTATGCAAAATATAGCTTCTAGGTTTAGTACTGTCCCGTGATTCGTCAGAATGTCATTTGCATTTCGAATATCGTCTATTGCCTTCTATATAAAGGGCCATTGAATTTTTTGCAGCTTAGCCGTTTGGTTTACTTACTGAAAATTGATTTAATATATCAAGCACTTCAAAAAATGAATATACAATTTTATTTCCTTTTTTTTAAATACGAGCACTTTTAACTTTCATTCAGATTTACAATACTCACAGTGCATGAGTTTAAGGTATATCTTGGTTGGAGGTGCGAGATAGTTGTTCGTGCCCGTGTGCGAGTTGTGATGAAGATTTGTTCTCTTTGTAAGACTGCAATGTTTTGGGAATTTTCTTGCTTCGTATTTCAGTTTTCTATTGTTACTCGTACTTTTTATTAATATTGGTTTTGATTTGTTTTTGCGTTAAATCACGTTACCGGCTCTTTATATTTTGCGTTTTAAACAGCACAAGTTGTAAGCGTGTCGAAGTACTTTTAAATACTTTTGTTTTTAACTTTTGCGATACTTGTTTGTAAATTTTACTTTAATGTACCTTTTTGTTGCAAGTTTTAGTATACTAAGTTTTTAAGAAGTGTTTTTTATTTTAACTTTACTGTCAGGATCGCCAATTAACTTTTCGTCGGAGAACGGAAAGTTTTTAAAAAATCAGAACGAAACGCTTTAAATATAAAGAGTAAACTAGGTTTTCTTTGTTTCTTTTCCTTTGACACAATGCTTTACTCAAGTTTAGATACAATATCCCAGCTTATATGGCCACTTCCTAATTGCCAATGTGTCAATGACATATTTGTTGACACATTCGATCAATGGTACAATAATGTATTTAATGTATTGTGTGAGCATATTTCACACATTCGATTGATGGTACATAAGTATATATATATATATGTATATAGTTATTGTTTACATAGTGGTTAAATCCTATGGGCTATTGGTGGCGTTAACTTGCATGGTACATGCGTATATAAGTTTTAAATGCTGAAAGGTAGGATTTATATAAGTTATTTATTACATATAAGTTATTAATGTAATATTTTTATTAAGGTTTTTAGTATATTATGATAGTATGTTATGTATATATAAGTATGGTATACACATAGCATGTATAAGTACATACATACAATATATTTAAAATAAAATGTAATCAATTATGCATGCTATCATATATATTCACAAAAGAAGCTTCATATTAATACATGGGTATGCGTATAAAAATATAAGCCATAGTCTAACATGAGGTTGTAATATCAATATGTACATTCACTCGTCTTAAAAAGTCTGCGTACACGCTTATGTCTTATTTTCTTTTGATAAATTTTAGAATAATCACATTAAGTGCTTTATTACTAGTCTGTTGTATAATCCTATAAAATTTAAAGCAGTGAAAATCTGATACCATAGTTTCATCGATAAATTTACCCAAAGTTGTCATTTCGCGGTGCAGAAAAAGTCTACGTATAAGTAGTAAAATGGGAATTATTCGCGTAAAAATCATGAGTAAAAGTGTCGGAAAGGTACAGTTTTACTTGTTTTCGTAGAAGTAGCAATTTTAATCGATTTTTGTTTTATTCAGTTTGTTATTAAATTTAGAACATCGAATCTCGCCTAAAAGAAAACAAAGGGATCCTCTGAAAATAATAATCCATAAAAATAATAATAAAATATTACAAACATACCGGCTTTTTTATATCTCGGCACGTGCAGGGCGGCTAAAAATACTAGCATAGCGTGAAACACGTAACCGTGTGACAGAAAATATGAAGCAAAACCCCCTACTTACTGAAACCAAAATCTCTCGAAATTTTAAGAAAACTTTATGAAATCCCTCTGCACTGACACGATTCGCAAAATTAAATAGAAGGCAGGGTTTATTTGTCAAGTCGTACACAAGAAGTCATTCATATCATCAGTCAATAGACCAGTGCGTAATGCTTTCGCGAAAGAGCACTTAAACGAACTCCGAGAGTTTTGGCAGAAAGTTATTTTGTCCGATGAAAATAAGTTTTGGGTCTTTGGAATCAAAGGACGTAAGATTTACTATTCTGCAGGATAAAGACCCGAAGCATGCAGCATAGACATAGTTAAGCTTTGGTTACTCTACAACGTTCCTAAGCAGCTTCAAACGTCGCCAGAATCACCAAATTTGAATCCACACAACGCACAATTACACATGCAAACGCACAATTACCTCAAAGGATATGCTCAAGGATGTACTGAACGAGGAATGGGCTCACATCCTTTCGCCAAAAACCTCTATGCTTATCTATTCCATGTAAAAGCATTTAATGGAAGTTTTAAGCCGTTGGGAATATTCGACTTCCTATTAAATTTTAAGAAGAATATCTTTGCTTGACTTATGTACCCTGTACGCAGACTTTTTCTAATGGATTTTTGATTCGTCGGCACGTTTTGCTTTGTTTATATGTTATTGTCAGAAATTTAACCACTTTTATTTTCATAAAACTACATATTTAATGTCCTTCAATGAATATCAAATGAATTGATTTTAATAAAAAGTATAGAAAATTATTTTTTCCAACGAATTATTTTTGTTGCTACCTTGTGTTTATTACGTTTTGTAAATCTTCTTAAAATATCTGTATTTTTTCCATAAACTCAATAATTATGACATTAGGATGTTGCCAATTATTTGCATAAATTGCGTGCAAAAAGGGACAGTAGAACGTGAGACTGGTGCAAGTGTTGCCAGAAATCCACGCAAAACGTGATACTTTGATCTGACCTGATATGTATTATCTGTTATAAACCCGAATTATATATTGAATCTTACCCATCATTTACACCATTTTATTTCAGGATGTGGCATTTATAAATCCGGCAAATGTAGTATTTGTATACATGCTAATAAGAGAACTAGTAGATGGCGAAGAAACCAAGGAATCGGAGCTGCAGGCATCTGTCCTTACGTGTTTATATTTATCATATTCTTATATGGGCAATGAGATAAGCTACCCACTGAAACCATTCCTAGTTGAAGACTGTAAAGATAAATTTTGGGAAAGGTAAGTTTTGGGGTACAAGCAAGGTGAATTTGTACATGCTTACTTTCAAAATTTGTTTTTTGAAAATTTACATCTAAAACTGCTAAATGACGTAATACAAAGTTGTTTTAATCAAAAAACTGTAAATACGTTTTTTTTAAATACAAATAAAAACAAGTAAGCGTCTAAGTTCGGCTGCATTTTGCTTTTTCAAGAAAAAAAAGTGTCTAAAATAAGTTATATAGTATAAGGTAGTATATACAACCAGAGGGGTTAAAGATATGAATCGATTTCATAAATTTTTAACGCTAAACTACCCTGTGGTCAAGAAAACATATTCACATAATTTCATTAATATAACTCCGAAAGGGTATGTTGGACCTAGATAAAATTTAAAGTCAACTAAAATTACGAATATCATTATATTTAGTATATGGTTCTGGGGTATAAACGGTATAAAATGAACCTAAATAACTGAAACTCTCAACACCAGACGACATTATCGTTAGGATGACATTCTCACTTAATTTTCTTAAGATTTTTAGCAAATCATACCGTAATTAAAGGCGAAAATACGATTTTTTCCTATTTCCGCCACTTTTATATGAGGGTTAGGCAAATTCGAGTTTGGTTCAAAGATTTATTTCGATCTCTAAACTAATGCTTGATTTATTTGATGACATTAAAGTTTCTGTCATATTGGAAAAGGCTCAGTAATAGCTCGAATTCGAACACTTTCGAATCGTAAGTCCTCGTTCAGACGCGACTCTTTTGTTACTCATAATCGGCAAATTCTCTTTTGGAGTCGCTCAGTACGTTCACACGAACGCCATGAGTCCAGCAACTCTAGTCGAGTTTTACTGTCTTCTTTTTCACAAAATTTTCGCAAGTGGTCTCATATTTACAAGGAATTACCATGAATGTGGTAGAACAATGTATAGAATACCCGCTATTAATATTGTCAAAAAAAACGTATGATGGGAATTCCCTAGGCCATCAGATCTATTGAATACCCGCTATTTATATTTTGAAGGTCACATTTGTGACTGGAATTTCGTATTGAAACCCCGTAATTTTTTACACAATATTTTTTTTATTTATTATAAAACATATATGGTTTAATTGCATTTCATTCAGCTGTATAAATGTTATTAAATATTTTAATTAACAATTTTTGAGTATCTAATTTTTATCCTTATTTACAATCTTTCAAAATATTTTATTATACTATGCATATTTGCTTGTTAAATACGAAAAATAGATAACGAAATTTAAATTTCCTTACATATCGTATATACGTAGTTACTTGAAACCGACCGCTATTGCAACCATTGCAAAAGAATTGTAATGAACAAGAACAAAAAACATGCCACCACGTGTTGTGGCCACTCGCCCACAAAGAACTGGTTTGGACGACAAACAAGTTCGTGTGTGAATTGGCACTAACATGAAAATGTCAAAATAAAGGTATGCACCCAATTAGGTTAAACTGATCCAGTTGTTGTTAAGATATGCAATTTCCCCTCAAAGTTGAAAATGTTCTAATTTTCCAACGAATTCGCAAGCAATTGTCTCGAATTGTCTTAAGCGTTAAATTTACTGTTTCGGATACTTTCGGGTTGGTATAACTGCCGTCAATTTGTAAATGAAAATATGTTTATTTCAATTAAAATATTTTCATTTTGTTTACAATTTTTATAGATATTTAATGTCAAAAATAACTCGTTACTTTAAGATACGATGATTGTATCAGTTAGTTATAGTTATATCACGTTTTTTAATTCTTTTGTCACGTCATAAGATGTTTTTATGTTTTTTCAACATGTTATACAAATAATAATAGTATTATTCAAGTAGAGGAGCTAAGTTCGTGTGCAACCGAACATTTTATACTCTCACAATTTGCAAGGACTAAATTTGTGGAAATACTTTCAAGAGTTGATAAAATTTTATATTAAGAAATTTTACATAAGAATCCAATATTTGTTATTCATCGAAATTTTGAATGGGATTTTTCGAGCCTGCAACAGGTCGTGCGGATTTATGCCTGGATTTGATGATTTATCCGAATTTTTCTGTTTTCCCTATTTATTTAATACTAGCTGTACTTACGTTGTTACGTCACCAACTGAAATAAATTTGAAGAAACAAAAAAAAACGATTTTCAATGTGAACCAGAGATCTGCAATTATTCTCTTTTTTAAGTCATTTGGATATAAGTCAAAAAACATAACCCCTTAATATCCACTAAAACACATTTAAACATGGCACACATAAAGAGGGTGTGAGTAATGATTAAGTTTCTCTTAATATGAACTCATGAGCCAATAACACTGGTAAACAAAATTAAAATGTTTTTGGTTTATGAAGTTACTAACTAATTTGACGTCGCTGATTTTAAATCTACGATACTCAGTATCTTTCTAGTAGCTCTAGTTTTAGAGATACAGGTACTTCTTTGAATATCGGTGCACGGCTTACTTGAATTAGTTTTTAAGGCAAAAAATTACTAAATTTCATAAATAAGCCGCTATGTCTACATTAAAAAAAGTTGTTTATCCTAAATTTCCAAGTGTTTATCCGAATAGTTTTTGCGCTGGCTATATGTTTGGAAAATGCCATTTAAATGCGTCTGATTCTATGAAAAAAAGGCTTATTTGTACTACTTTGGGAAGACATGAACTGGCTGATATGTGTCGATCTTAAAATGTTAAATGTTTCTTTTAGGTCAGCAAGGAAAATATACCAAATACCCCTGTTTTCTGTGCTTATGAGATAGTGGAGTCAAGACAGAAACTGGACTAAAAAAGTTTGGCCTTTTGGAGTGAATTTAGTACCGGGTAGTATGAATGTGTTGAATGCCCCTCTAGTAGCCAGAGACCGCATTATATTACCCCCTCTTCATATAAAGTTAGGTATGATAAGATAGTTTGTAAAAGCTATAAACAAGAATGGGGAATGTTTTAAATATATTAGTCAAATATTTCCGAAATTGAGTACAGAAAATATAAAAGCAGGTATTTTTGACGGTTCTCAAATAAAGTAGCTAATAAAGGACCAACATTTTGTCATGTATGACAGGTAAGGAAAAATATGCAGGGATTGAATTTATTTGGTGTATATATTTCTTTAAACTTTTTGGAATTTAAGCACTCGCCATTTTTTTTTCTTTGCTTATAATGCAATTTCTCTTATAATACAATTTCCCTTATAATACAATTTTATTTTTATTCGCAACGAAATTATGTGTTTAAATCACTCAATAAAATTCACATGCGACTCATTAACCCGATAAATTTCCGCTGATAGGAAAATTCTGTATGTTCTCGACCGAGGCCGTGAATCAAAAAATGATGGCGAGGTGTCCTTTGCGAGCTAGATCGATACGAAAGGAGGTCGGCCGCTTGACATGTCGATTGTTTTGTTAATGTTTGGTTATCGTTGTATGAGGTGGTGTCGTTGTATGAGGTGTATGTTGCTTGAGGTGATGTGGTAAGTATTGCCAGAGGTAATGTGCAATGTAGATTGTGTGTCGTTCTTGTGGGAGGTGTGTGTGTTGTAATTTTTTCAGGGACAACATAGGCTCATTTAACCATCCCGGCGCCCCTAGGCGAATTTTAGCCTAGCAGACGCTAAAGTTGTTGCAAGGCGGCTATGACGCTGCTGATCCCTGGCTGTGCCGCTTCACTGCTCTGTTGCGTTGGCGCCAGGAATGCGGTTCCAAAGGGAGTGCAGACCGTCGAGGTTGTGCTGATGCGTTCCTTTGGGTTCGCCTGACTGCGCCGCGGTGATTAGTGGACCACTGTCACGCCTCGCGGTACGGTGAAGGAGTTGTGATGTAGCTTACCGCATATTTGATACAGGCCCCCAGACTAACATACGGTTCTTACATTGGTGTGCACCAGACAATTCAGGCAGTGTCCATTCTGCCGTTGGATGGTTGGCATACCTTTGAATATGCCGCAATGCTGCAACCGGTGTGGGCGACAACATAACGGGCATCGGAGGCGGACAGGGCTGTTGATGTGGTTAGTAGACGCGTGCCACTACGAAGAGCGATTGGAGGTATACATTTTTCGCATGATTGATTTGTATTTTTGTTCCACGTTATGTGGCGTAAATGAGTCGTCAGTTCGATCGACCTTTTACCGGATTTAGCTATTTGTTTTTTTTATGATTTATTATTTTAAGCGGTTTTTTTCGGGTTATTATTTACGTTTGTTCAGTATTATCGGCTGTGGGTAAAAAGGTTAGCTTTACGTGCGGTCTAGCTAGCGTTGCGGTTTGCGTACGGAGATCGACTATTTGGATGTGACCGTCGGAGCCATGGTGAAAGCCATCATTCGGTAGGGGGGAGACAATCATCGTGTGCTCGCACGCAATCTCCAAGCTTTGGCGCCTTTTCTGGAGCTTTCCAGCGGTACCTCTTGTGGAGGTCCTTTAAATAATCTTCTTTCCATTGGCGGCTAAAATTTTGATGGAGAATTTTTTCCCCATCGGTTTAATAAGGGTAGCGACCCCAAGTCTGGCACAGGTATGGCCAGAATGGGTGCTCTTTTGAGAAAATACCCAGAAGAGGATTGTGATTGAACGCGAATGGAGAACGACTTCAATTCGAATTAATAATATCGTGCATTCTTCATAATTAAACTTGTAGTTTTCAACTACTTTTTTGAGGAGGGGTTAGAAGCTTTTTACAGCTGATGCCCAGGAACCACCCATATGAGAAGCACTTGTGGGGATAAACTGCCAATTAATGCCTTGGGGAGAGTTCTTCTGCACAATCTCAGGTGAGACTTGTTTGATAAAGTCCACAAACTGTTTTTCAGTGGCTTTTAGGGCTCAAATAAACGTTTTGCCGTTTTCACCCATTATTTGTGAGAGAAAACCATGCCGTCCGACGAAGTAAGTCCCACTATTCGCACGAAGCAGACCTAAGAACTAACAGTGTACTGAGAGTGAAATGTGTTTAGATTCTAGTGTTACATCACGGCTAAAGTAGCGCAGTTGAGTTGATGCGA